AAGTACTGTGTGAAATGACACAGGCTGGGTAGAAAAGTAAGAAAGCTGTAGCCATAACACAGGCAAATAAGGCAAAGGGCTTTTATGCATAAGTAGCTGAAGATTAACATAAAAATATAGAAAAGCAGTATTTATGAAAATGAAAGAAACAATACTTTCTTCTAAATGTAGTGAGTCACTTGTGCAGCACGGGTACAGTTATCCTCTCTTCATAGGCAGAATCAGTGCCATTTCTTCACTATTGATATTTTCAATTATTCACCTGAGGCCACATGCTAGTTTCAATAAGAATTTTATAACTAATTATATAGCTTCTATTAGCTAGCATTGTTCTGTGTTTGTTTACTTCACACATATGCCAAATAGACCTTATGTGGCTCCAACTGTTCACTTTAAATAAGTTGGCCCAATAAATTCAATGAACTCAACTATGACAATTCTAAAAAGTAAAATGATTCATATCTAAACAAAAATTGAATTAAATAGCATTATCTAATTGAAAAAATAAAATGCACTCACTAAATAGAATGCAATACACTCACTGTGAAATTACACCTTAAAATTATGTTGTGAACACCATTAAATTTTAGAAGTCACTTTTATAATCCCTGAAGGGATTATATTGAAAATACTTTCTGAAATTTGACAAAAAGAAAATTATATAGTAGGTCTAGAGTAACAGGCAAACAAACAAAAAACAGAAGATTTGCATAAGAAGACTCTAAGCCAGGAGTAATAATATTTGAGACAAATAAATTCAGTATAAAGCAGAGAAAACTGATTTGCTTCCAAAATCTTTGAAGTTTCTGGTTTGCTGGTAACTTATCAATCCTTGTAAAATTATGTTTTATTTTACTATTTTTTTCTTCTCAGAGTAGGTACACAGCCATTCACAAACATGATTGCTTTCTCCAATAATACCCTAAAGTTTATTTTACAGTGATATGTATGTATATTTAAATCCACATAAATCAAAACTAAAAGTCTGTATGTGTTTTGCATACCATAGAAGTCCCATGTTTAACAGAATAAAATTTTGTAAATTGTCATTCAGAATTCAGAAATATATAACTCCATTCTAATCATATAATCCTTATTATTCCTAACATAATAACCTGTAGTTACTAATAAAAAAAAAAGCATAAGCTGTAGAAACAATATTCTCCAAGCTATCTGAAGTTGAAGACCACTGACAAAAAGAATCACGAGAGGTTATTCCACTATGTCAATAGTGGAATAGTATATTGTTATGCTCTTATTGTATATTGTTATGCTGTTACCTTACCCAACCTTGGGCAAGATGGGATGCTAACATCAGTGGCAAGATACACATTCAATGTAAAACAGGCTTACCACATTAAAACAATTCTTATTAAAACAAATTAAGTTCACATACTGTCATTTAATAAAAGCATTTTTAAATCCCCTGTATTTTAATTACCTTAACGTGCAAATGGTAAAACAATTTACTTCTAAAATTCAAAATGTTTCTCCTATTATAATGCATAAGTATATTATTCTGAACACTTACCACANCCATTTCTTCACTATTGATATTTTCAATTATTCACCTGAGGCCACATGCTAGTTTCAATAAGAATTTTATAACTAATTATATAGCTTCTATTAGCTAGCATTGTTCTGTGTTTGTTTACTTCACACATATGCCAAATAGACCTTATGTGGCTCCAACTGTTCACTTTAAATAAGTTGGCCCAATAAATTCAATGAACTCAACTATGACAATTCTAAAAAGTAAAATGATTCATATCTAAACAAAAATTGAATTAAATAGCATTATCTAATTGAAAAAATAAAATGCACTCACTAAATAGAATGCAATACACTCACTGTGAAATTACACCTTAAAATTATGTTGTGAACACCATTAAATTTTAGAAGTCACTTTTATAATCCCTGAAGGGATTATATTGAAAATACTTTCTGAAATTTGACAAAAAGAAAATTATATAGTAGGTCTAGAGTAACAGGCAAACAAACAAAAAACAGAAGATTTGCATAAGAAGACTCTAAGCCAGGAGTAATAATATTTGAGACAAATAAATTCAGTATAAAGCAGAGAAAACTGATTTGCTTCCAAAATCTTTGAAGTTTCTGGTTTGCTGGTAACTTATCAATCCTTGTAAAATTATGTTTTATTTTACTATTTTTTTCTTCTCAGAGTAGGTACACAGCCATTCACAAACATGATTGCTTTCTCCAATAATACCCTAAAGTTTATTTTACAGTGATATGTATGTATATTTAAATCCACATAAATCAAAACTAAAAGTCTGTATGTGTTTTGCATACCATAGAAGTCCCATGTTTAACAGAATAAAATTTTGTAAATTGTCATTCAGAATTCAGAAATATATAACTCCATTCTAATCATATAATCCTTATTATTCCTAACATAATAACCTGTAGTTACTAATAAAAAAAAAAGCATAAGCTGTAGAAACAATATTCTCCAAGCTATCTGAAGTTGAAGACCACTGACAAAAAGAATCACGAGAGGTTATTCCACTATGTCAATAGTGGAACAGTATATTGTTATGCTCTTATTGTATATTGTTATGCTGTTACCTTACCCAACCTTGGGCAAGATGGGATGCTAACATCAGTGGCAAGATACACATTCAATGTAAAACAGGCTTACCACATTAAAACAATTCTTATTAAAACAAATTAAGTTCACATACTGTCATTTAATAAAAGCATTTTTAAATCCCCTGTATTTTAATTACCTTAACGTGCAAATGGTAAAACAATTTACTTCTAAAATTCAAAATGTTTCTCCTATTATAATGCATAAGTATATTATTCTGAACACTTACCACACTGCTATTCTTTCACTTATGACACTGTTGTACACCATCCACTAAGGGCCTTCCCATTTAGAATTTTGTCACGCATCTTATATTTCAGTTTTCTTAATCTTCCACAGAAAAGTATGGAAACGTGTCCATCTAATAAAGAAAAACTTCTCATAATACTGATGTAGCAACCAATGACCATGAAATTTTGTATAAATACTAAGAAATGAAGACACAGCACCTCCCCACCCAATAAATCAGCAAGTGAATGAGTCACTGTGGAAACCCAAACTTCTCCTACAGATCTCTGCAACCCTTGGGTCAGGAGACACTGCATGAAGCAACTCTACCAAGGCCTTCAGTTTGACACACAGAGCTATGTGGAGTCTCAGCAGAGCAGAGGCCTAGGCCTGTGCAGAGACCTGTGGGCCTTAGATACTCTGGCTTTCTGGGTTTCCCAGAAAACATGGCTGCAACTCCAGCAAAACGGAAGGTTACACCTCTGTGCATACCCACAGGAAAGAGGTGGATTCTAGAGGGGTGAGACCCACTTTCACAGCACCCCACAGGGTAAGACCCACTGTCTTAAAATCCAGGCAGTCACTGGTAGCCGCACTGCACCTCCCAGAGGTGCAGCTCCAAGACGGAGGAGTGGGCCGACGCCTTTGCTGCTGTGGCAACTTAGCCATTCCAGCTTTTAGGCTTTGAAGAGCTCAGTGGGGGTGGAAAGGATCCCTCATGACAGTACAGCTGCTCTACAAAAACATGGCCAGACTGTCTGGTAAAGGTTTTCAGTCTCATTCCTCCTCACCGGACAGTGTATGTCCCAACTAGGATCTCCAGAAATAACCACTGGCGCTCTCTCCAGCTGAAGGAGTTTTAGAAACTCCCTGGAACAAAGCCCCCAGATGGTAGATAAGTAACCCTCTTTGCTGTTTGGGTGACTAGGCTGTTCTAGCCTCTGGCTTGGGAGATTCCAAGTCAACCTGAGGTGGAAGTGGTACCCTATCATGACAAAGCTGCCCTACAAAATGTGACCAGACTGCTTTTTTAAGTGGGTCCCAAATCTTGTTTCTCCTCACTGGGTGAGACTTCCCATCAGGAGTCTCCAGTTACCTTTTACAAGTGCTTTTGGACTGGCAATTGTTCTATACATTTCTAGGACAGAGTTCCCAGAGAAAGGGGCAGGTTGCTATTTTTTCTGTTTTACAGCCTTCACTGGTGGTATCTTCAGGTGCCGGAAAATGTGAAGTGACTAGAAACAACAGTGGACACCCAGCATATTGTAATAGTCCTATGGGAAAGTAGTCAAACTATTCTAATCACCCCATATGTATCTCATATATTCTCACTAGGTAGGTCCTCCTGGCCTGGGCCTCTAGCCAACAAACGCAAGTGCTACCGAGCTATTAGCAACTTAATAATTCCCTAGAAAGAGCCTCCAGGGGCAACTAATAGAAGCGTCTCTGCCACTGCCCCTATATTGGAACTGTCTTTGCTACCCTCCAACTAGTGAAAAACCCAAAATTCAAAGTTCTTTATCCACACTTCCAACAAGCTGCATGCCGTGAGCCCAAAGAAAGGCCAGTCTATCTCCAATGGGTCCCACTCACACTTCACTGCTCATCACCAGACAGAAACAACCCCTTGCTTGGCCTAAAACACAGGCCATTTATCCTGGACTTACTGCAATAAGTGATTATTGAGCTACGGCTCTATGAGGTGTCACTCCCAGAAGACAAGAAAGTGGTGGGGAGGCAAGCCAGGTGATGTGGAGCAGAGGATTTGGTGTAAGAGTACCTGTAGAGGACCATGGCCAGAGATGGCCATCCCTCTAAGTTCAACTTATTCCCGTAACAGACTTTAGCCATAGAAAAACTGTTGGACCTGATCTCTGAAGGATGGTCTTGCACATCAGAAGAGGACAGTCCAAGCTGAGCACTTCTTGGAATGATAGCTTCTCCTGGGCAGAGCTTGGCCGCACCTGCTTCCAGGGCAGTTTCAATAGCCCTAAGGGCCCACACCATACATTCTGCACTGGTGGACCTTGCCTGACTAATGAATAGCTCCAGCAAAGCGGCCCCTATGGCTGTGCACCAGCATTCATGTTCCCCCTTCTACTAAAGCTTCCCCCAAGTCCATGGCAAGCAACTCCCACATCACTCTGATGGCACATGTCTCCATGGGCATGTTTTGCTTTACTTGCCCACCAGCCCATGGGAATGCAGTATGACTCTCAACCCCAAGCAACTGCAATTGCAAATGGAGCCCTGGCTGGCACAAAGCCCGCAAGCCCTGCCCTTCCCTTGTGCTGACACTGTGCAGAGAACAGGGAGGATGCTTCCACACACTGAGCTTGCAGGACACAGAGAAGGCATCAAACCTGTGCTGGCCAATACCCTGTCTCAAGCCAATACCACTAGTACAACAGCACCCAGAGTCTCCAGCAGGGGCCCCCAACTCCCACCCAGATGCTCTGGCTCTAACAATGAGATGAATGTCCACAGACAGCCCAAAACTCCACATCCACTAGCACTCTGCTGCAGCTGCATCACCTCAGTCCCCCAAGCATAGTGGACTTCAAACCTCAAGAAACCAGAGAATTAACTCAGGGCTCAATACAAGTGTCCTACAGTTAGTGCATGCAGCCTAGAAGTTGTGAATTGAGCACTGGCCCCTTAAAATTTCCCAGGAATCAACCATATCTGCTCAATTTGCCTTATACCTCAATTAAACCCTTAGGGGCACCAAGTAAAAGGAAAAAAAAATTCCATCCAAAGTTCAGCAACCTCAAAGCTTAAATGTAGATAAGCCTGCAAACATGAGACAGAATCAGTGCAACAATGATGACAACTCAAAAAGCAGAGTGGCTTCTTTTTTCCAAATGACCAAATCACCTCTCAGCAAAGGCAGAGATAGCTAAAGTAACGGAAGTAGAATTCAGAATAAGGATAGGAAAAAAGTTCATTGAGCTACAAGAGTTAAGTTGTAACCCAACGCAAGGAAGTTAAAAATTATGATAAAACATTGTAGGAACTGACAGAAAAAAAAAATAAAACAATCCATATAGAGAAGGACATAAACGGCCTGATAGAGCTAAAAATCTACTACAAAAATTCCATAAAGCAATCAAGCATGAGTAGCAGAATATGCCAAGCAGAGGAGGTAATCCCAGAGCTTGACGACTGGCTTTTTCAAATAAAGCAGGCAAGAAGAGGGAAAACAAAAAATCAAGAGGAATAAGCAAAACCTCCAAGAAATGTGAGATCATCTAAACAGACCCAATCTATAACTAAATGGTGTACCTGAAAGACATGATGAGACTGAAAACAACCTCAAAGACATGTTTTAGGACATCAACCAAGATCACGTCCCCAAGCTAGCTAGGGAGGCTAACATTCAAATTTGGGAAATACAGAAAACCCCAGTTGGATACTCCTCAAGAATGTCATTCCCAAGACAGATAAACACGAGATTCCCCAAGGCTGAAATGAAAGAAAATGGGTTAAGGCAGCTAAAGAAAAAGGCCAGGTAATCTCCAAAGGGTAGCTCATCAGACTAACAATGAACCTTTCGGCAGAAACAAACAAACAAAAAAAAACAAGAGATTAGAGGCCAATATTCAACATACTTTAAAAAAAGTTCTAACCAAAAATTTTATATGTGACCAAATTAAGCTTCAGAAGTAAAGGAGGTAAGACCCTATTCAGATAATACTGAGGAAATTTGTTACCACTAGGCCTGCCTTACAAGAAGTGCTGAAGACAGCACTGAATAGGAAAGACAGAGGCAAACACATTAAAGTACATAAACCAGTGACACTATAAAGCAACCACAAAACAAAACCATTTGTTTTACACAATAAACAAGTCTGCAAAATAACTAAGATAATGACAGAATCAAGTACACGTATATTGACACTAACCTTAAATGTAAATGAGCTAAATGCCCCAAATTAAAGACAAAGTGGCAAGCTGCATAAAGGATCAAGACCCACTGGTATATTGTCTTCAAGACACTATGTCACACAGGCTCAAAATAAAAAAATGGAGTAAAACCTACCAACCAAATAAAAAGACAGAAAAAAGGCAAGAGTTTCAATCCTTGTTTCTGGCAAAACAGATTTTAGATCAACTAAGATTATAAAAAGATAAAGAAAGGCATTACATAATAGTAAAGGGACAACAATGCTAAATATATATACACCCAACACAAAAGTATCCAGATTAATAAAGCAAGTTCTTAGAGACAGACTTCTACACAATAGTGTGAGGGACTTTAATACTTCATTGACAATATTAGATAGATCATTGAGACACAAAATTAACAAAGATATTAAGAACTTAAATTTAGCACTGTATCAAATGGACTTGATAGACTTCTACAGAACACTTTAACCAAAAATAAACAAACATACATTTTTTTTTTATCACCACATGACATATACTATAAAATCAATCACATAATCAGGAATAAAAATCTCCTCAGCAAATGCAAAATAACTGATTTCATAGCCATCTCAGACCATATTAGAAATCAAGACTAAGAAAATTCACTTAGAAACATACAATTACATGGAAACTGAACACTCCTGTTATGTCAGAAAGAAAGAAGTTTTTAAAATTAATGATAACAAAGATATATTACAACATACTAAAATCTTTAGGAAACAGCTAAGGCAGTGTTAAGACAATAATTTATAGTGTGATGACAATAATTTATAGTGCTAAATGCTCACACATTAAAAAAAGATTAACTTGTAATGTTAAGAGCCTAACATTACAAGTAAAAGAACTAGAGAAGAAAGAGCAAATAAATCTCAAAGCTGGTAGAATACAATAAATAACAAAATTTAGAGCTGAATTGAAAAAGACTGAGACATAAAAAGCTATTTTAAAAAATCAATAAATCTGGGAGCTATTATTTTTAAAAATTAGTAAAGTTTGTGGAACTCTTATAAGGATTTCCTCTTGCTTAAATTTTTCTGTGTATAATAAAATCTGTAATGTAAGTAGAAATACTGTACCTCTCTATTTGTAAGGTTCATAAATAATAAAAGAATTATTGTATACTCTTAAGTCTTTTGTTCAATATCCTTCAATAGTGATTCCACTTATATCGTATTTGTTCTGATATATTAAAAAAAAATTGAGGACCTGCTTAAGGCTTTTTTACATTTTTAATACCTGTAGTTTCTCTTCATTATTCATTCTCTTATGTTTAGTAAGGGCTGAGAAACACTTAAAGACTTTGCCACATTCCTCACATTTTAAGGTCGCCTTCCAGTATGTATTCTCCTGTGGTTACAAAGGGTTGAGAAGCGGGAAAAGACGGTGCCACATTCTTCACACGTGTATAGTTTGCTCCAGTATGAGTTCTCTTATGTTTAGTAAGACCTGAGGACCACCTATAAGCTTTGCCACAGTCATCACATTTGTAGGGTTTCTCTCCAGTATGAATTCTCTTATGTTGAGAAAGTTCTGAGGGATACATATAGCCTTTGCCACAGTCTTCACATTTATAGGGTTCCTCTCCAGCATGAATTATCCTATGTTTTGTAAACTCTGAGAACCACCTACAGACTTTGCCACATGCTTCACATTTGTATGGTCTCTCTAAAGTATGCATTATCTTATGTTGAGTAAGGTCTGAGAAGCTTTTAAAGGCTCTGCGACATTCTTCACAATAGTAGGGTTTCTCTCCAGTATGAATTTTCTTGTGTTTAATAAGGTTTCGGGAGTAGGTAAAGGCTTTGCCACATTCTTCACATGTGTGGGGTTTCTCTCCAGTATGAATTCTCTCGTGTCTAGTAAGAGCTGAAGAGTGGGTAAATGCTCTGCCACATTCTTCACATCTGTAGAGCTTCTCTCCAGTATGAATGATGTTATGTGTAGCAAGGGTTGAGGAGCGAGTAAAGGCTTTGCCACATTGTTCACATTTGTAGGGTTTCTCTCCAGTATGAATTCTCTGATGTTTAGTAAGGTTTGAGAAGCGTTTAAAGGCTCTGCCACATTCTTCACATCTGTAGGGTTTTCCTCTAGTATGAGCTCTCTTATGTCTAGTAAGGCCTGGGAATGACCTACAGACTTTGCCACATTTTTCACAACTGTAGGGTTTCTCTCTGCTACAAATTTTCTTATCTTCAGTAAGAATTGAGCACCACTGAGAAGCTTTGCCACATTTATTGCATTGGCATATCTTGCTACGGATGGGTGACAAACACTGCTGGAGGTAATTATGACTACTTTTCTGCCCCTTGCAATTATTCTCATCTTGCCAGACTTTCTTTAAGCATAAATTATCAAGCCCACAGCTTTTGTATTTTCTTGGTATTACATTTTTAGATGAATCTTTTATGTTCTGCTTCGGCAATATCTCTGTAGGGAAAAAACAAGGGTCCAGCTAAGAAAACAGTAACAAATTATCTCACTTATTTAACTAAGGTGAATATACTTTACAAACATAAAATTATACTAAGCACATTGAGACAGTGAGGCAATAAAATACCACACACTCTGATTTCTTTATAGACATATAAACTTAACAAAAATATACTAACCAAAATGCTTTTTTGAGAAATATGAAAACCAGTTGAGTATTTGCAGCATTGCAAGTAAGCAAAATGCCAAGGACAATACAGAAGTTGAAGAAAAGTATTTTATATTTACCAACCACACCCATTCTTCATCCCCAATACAACTCCCAACTCCTGTCTTCTCCTTCCAAAAAGAAAGAAAATAGTGCCACATGTGTCCATGCTTCTGGCTTTCTGTGGCCTTGCCAAAGACTAATTTCTAGGTTCCATGACAGTGCTGAAAGGAATGGTGGTATACTTTGAATGACAGGTTGGGTCAGCTGAGGTAAATGAGTGTTAGAAGAGAAAAAAGACTTCAGTACCATAGTCAGACAATGAGCATAGAAAGTGATTACAAGCTCCCAATAAGAAACGTGGGGATCTTCTTTAACTGAACAACAAGCACAAAAGCCCAGAGAAGACACATCCATAAAACAGGTTTGAGAGACTCTGAAAATCTCTAGCCTAAAAAGTTGGTGCCATATTACTCAAGGCCAAAGCCAAGTCATAAATATTTTGACATGTGGCTTTTTTTGTACAAATCACAACCAAAGATTACAACATAAACAAAACATCAGAACTATATGGCTAAATCAAAGGAATAAAGTGAGTATCCAGAAATCAATACGAGGAAAATAAAGATGTAAATATTACCTGAAACAATGTGAATTCAGCTAGATCTCTTTTTTAAAATAATAATAAAAAAAAAAAAACCTTAAAAATTTAAAATTGTCATTTCAATGACCTTCACTGAGTGAAACGGGAACACAGAAAACAAAATGAAATAACAAAAATAAAACTTAACAAAAAAAATAAGAAACACAAAAAATAAAAATTGTGAAGCAGAAGTACAAAATAAGACTGACATGCACTTCAACATTTAAAATATATATATATATAACAAAAGCAAGAAGCTTAGCAAATTGCAACTAAAATTAACACAGAGATCCCCAAAAAGACACAATATAACATAGTATTGAAAGTCAAAGACAAGAAGAGAATATAGAATGCAGGAAGAGAAGAGAAAGGTGTCATTTATATCATGCTCTTGCAAGATTACCAGCAGACGTATAAACAAATTTTTCAGGCAAGAACAAAGCTGGATAATATAATATACAAACTAAAATTTCAAACAAGAATACTATGTTCAGCAAAAGTATTCTTTAAAATGAAGAAAAATAGACTCTCCAAGATAATCAAATTATAGATAAGTATGTCAACAGAACTAATCTACAAG